TTGGGTAACTGGTATCTGGAATCTCTACAAAGATCCTGGGAGTTTTGTTATTTCCTGAGTTCCTGTAACTACCCCTGTGAAAGATAAAATCAGATCAGGCTGACTCAATATTTCTTTACTGCTCTAGAATGCTGACTGTCAAGGAAGCCCCTATTTACAGAATTGTGCTGTGCTGTGTCGCTCAGTCGTGTCTGACCCCATGGACTGTAGCCCGCCAGGCTCCTCTGTCCATGGGGAGTCTCCAAGCAAGAATACTAGAGTGGGTAGCCTATTCCTTCTCCAGGGGATCTTTCCGACCCAGGAATCGAACCAGGGTCTCCTGCTTTGCAGGCGGATTCTTTACCAGTTCAGCTGCCAGAGAAGCCTTTATTTAAAAAGACTACTAGAATGTATAACTTTCAGGCTTTCCTTGTAATTCTTATTTTAGAGAGCTTGAATTTCATAAGCTTCAAATGATCAGAATTCTCTAAATGGAACTTGAGAATCCACCACTCCTTTAGAGCATGGTGATCAGAATAGAGCTTCTGAGTGCAGATTACGACATGTACTTCTTACCTTGATCTCTGTCTCCCAACCAATCAGCCTGGAATGAGTCAGAGTTCTATTCTATGTATCAGAGCTGCCTGAAGACTCGCCATTTGTGGGCACCATGTCCACGTGTACACACACATTTGCACACATGGGCATACAGACACAATGATTATTTCATGCATTCTCCTAGTAACTCAATGTGCAGGAGTGGAAATGGGAAGGTGACAAGTTGCTATGATTCACCCACTTCCAGGAATGTACCGAGCCGTCCTTTAATCCCAGTGACACTATTTTTCATTCTTCCTACAGGTTCCACTCTGGAGTCTGTGTAGCGTGAGAGCTTTGAGAGCCTGAGGAATAGGTTTCTCTTTGAATCTCGCCTCTACAGAGCCCTTTACTGTTTCCTGCATGTAGATGATACTCACTATGTTTGTTTGTATGAGTAAGTGAGGGAATGAAAGGAGGTTATGAAAGTTCTCAGGTACAATTAGTTTGACTTGTTACGGAGTCTTTATACTTTCTGAATACAAATGCTTGTCTTCAGGTTCTACCTTTACTGATATAATTGACAGAAAAGTACACTTTGGATGAGGAAGGGAAAGAAGAGAGGATCAGCATATATAAGCATATATAGGTGATAAAGACTCATGGTCGGGGCAAGCTGGCGCCGGAAAGAAAGTTAGTTTCCAGAGGATTTTTTCTGCTTATTCCCCCAGGTGGTATAGCCTCTATGAGTAGCAAAAAGGAGCTAGTGGCCGGTGGGAGGATGTTGTTGCTAACTGAAGTTGAGAAATAAAAGGATAACTGGGAGTATTAATATGGTTTCCTGTCAATGACAATGAGATAAATGGTAAAGGAGAATTTGAAAAACCTTAGCAAATTTCTGGAGACCAGGAGACTCACCTTGAGAAAACAATACAACCGGGTTTCTTACACATATTCTACTTTACATTTAAAAGCATACATCTTTTGCTAAGTGGAGGTTCAAATCTTTATTTAAAAATGCACTCAGATATTATGAGGATTTGAAGAATTTCTCTCCCTCTCTCTCTTTCTCAAGTACCACGCTTTAGGTTATTTATTTTCTATTACTAGGTAAGCTTATCTTAAAAGCAGGTTTTACCCCAAGAGGAGAAAGAAAAGACATATTCTATGTTTCTCACTAAATATCCTTTCACAAAGCCTGAATCAATGTATGTTTTTCAGCATTTACTGCACATTTTTGTTTTTTTTTTTTCATTGCTGGAAAGGTTTTGGCTGGAGTCTTTGAATTCTTATCTCCAGCCTGTTTACTGAATTTTCAGTCAGCTTTCTCAGGATTAAACTATCTTTCACTTTCAGAGATAGGTGCTGTGAACCAGAGTTTTTTTGTACAAAATCCTGCTCCAAGGTCATTGGTTGTACCATCAGCAACTAAAATAAATGTATGATTCACTTTTAAAACTGTATCTTTTGTTAGGTAATGTGTGTGCTCACTTTAAAAAATGTATAATAGTATTTCGAAAAGCATAAATCCAGTCCCATCTCTCCATCTTTCCAGGGTCAACCACTGTAAGCAGGTTCTGGTATTTCCTGATAGATGACAAATAAGCATCTTGAACGTCTTATAAGTAACTTGGCACATAATAATTTATTGAGAAGTATAACAGTGGTAAAGAACCTGCCTGCCAGTGCAGGAGACATAAGAGACATAGGTTTCATCCCTCAGTAGGAAAAATCCCCTGGAGAAGGGCATGGCAACCCATTTCAGTATTCTTGCCTGGAGAATCCCATAGACAGAGGAGCCTGGCAGGCTACGGTCCATAGGGTCACAAAGAGCTGGACATGACTGAAACGACTTACACGCACATAACAGCCCTAAATACCAATGCTGTTGTTGTTGTTCAGTTGCTAAACCCTGTCGGACTCTTTGTGACCCCCTGGACTTTGCCAGGCACCCTTGTCTTTCACTGTCTCCCGGAGTTTGCTCAAACTCATGTTCACTGAGTCAGTGATGCCATTCAACCACCTAATCATCTGCCGCCGCCTCTTTTGCCTTCAATGTTCCCAGCATCAGGGTCTTTTCCAATGAGTTGTCTCTTTGCATCAGATGGCCAAAGTATTGGTACCAATACCTAACCATTTATTGAGTACTCACCATGTCTTTGAAGGACATGGCAACCCCCTCCAGTATTCTTGTCTGGAGAATCCCATGGACAGAGAAGTCTTGTGACTACAGTCCATAGGGTTGCAAAGAGTTGGATACCACTGGAGCGACTTCGCACGCAGGCAACTTCCCTTGTGGCTCAGCTGATAAAAGAATTCACCTGCGATGGGGAAACCTAGGTTTGATTCCTGGCTTGGGAGGATCCCCTGGAGAAGAGAGTGGCTGCCCACTCCAGTATTTTGGCCTGGAGAATTCAGTCCATGGGGTCACAAAGAGTCGGACACGACTGAGTGACTTTCACTTCACTTCACACCATGTCTTGGGTGGTTTTTGTATAGCGCGTTTTTTAACAGAAAGGAAGAAAAATGAATGAGTGAATGAATGAATGCAATAACACCCATCAAATGTGATAGGTTTGTTTTGCTTTGGATTTGTGAATATCTCAAGAGTTTCTGTTTCAGCAGAGAAAACAGAGATCTGGCCTGGTAACAAAGATAATAACTGGTTGGTTGGTATTTTAGGGAGAGGTGCATGGGATGTTAAAGCCCACACCTTTTGGTTTTGAAATACCAAATGGCTTCTCCTATAAGCACAAACTGCAGAGCAGTCGAGGATGTTTTTTGCATTTTCCCCTCTTCCTTAATGACCTCCCCATGGTTAGCATTCTGATACCGAGAGTCAATGAAGTTGAAGGAGAGGTATTTGGTTACAAAAAAAAAGATCCCCAGGACCCACCCCTGCACCCCTCGAGTTGGTTAGTCTTTCTACAAGAGCCTCAACAACCACAGTGTAAAATAAACTGATTTTTGTAATACAGTGCCCATCTCCTGATACATTTTACATAGTTATTTCCCTGCTTCCTATCCCAAAGGTTCGTTTGCCCATATTTGATTTTTTTTTTTTTTTTCTGTTTTAACGGGAATGGGGAAGGGTGAAGACAGAGTTATCTGAGAGTTCATTCCAACTCCTGGAAGCGGTAGGGAAGAGGTTAAGCTGGACCGGAGGATTTTTGAAGTCTTTGGCTGGGAGGTTCCATTTGGAGAAAGGTGCAGGGGAGCCAGGGGTGGCGAGAGAAACAAGGCAAGTTCCCATTTGCTCGGATTTGTGATCCTGAGCAGTTTGATTTCTCACCTGAGGGCGCAGTCGGGCACCCTGGCTCGTGGATGGAAATATTAACAAGCAGGACTTGCCAGGGCGGCGTCTGTAGAGTGTAACCTGACGCATGGGAAGCACCGCGCGGCCCCTTTAAGTGTTCTCGGGCCGGGAGCGAGAGGGAGGAAACTGGGAGCCGCGGGGAAGGTGGGGGAAACCCACCAACGACCGAGCCAGAGAAGGGGCAGCGTGAGAGCAGAAACTTCAGACGCTGCTGATCCCGGCGGAGCTCGGGTGAGCCGCGGCGGCCGTCACTCCCACCCGCAGCAGCACGCTCCTCGCCCCTCTCCGCTACCCCGGGGAGGTCCGGGAGCTGCCTCCCTGCCGCTACCACGAACCTGGGCTGCGGGCAGCCGCCGCTTGGAAGTTTGGGCTTCAGCGTCCCAGCCGCGGAGAGTTCGGGGTGCTTTGCGCGCACGCCCCAGCGGCGAGGGGTCTGAGGGATGGTGAGCGCAGCGCTGGGCTGGGAGCGCCCGGGAGGCGTGAGTGTGTCCGCGGACCGGCTGCCGTCCTCAGGGCCCTCCGCATCCCCCAAGTGATGGGAACAAGGGCCCGCCCAGGGAACCGCTGTCGCCGCACCGCCCCCTTGCTCGCCCCCAGCGCGCGGAGTCACCCAGGCACACCCCCGGCACCCCGTGCCCGCTTTCCAGAAGTGCTGCCGCTGCCTTTGCCGCCGGCGCGGGTGGCCAGCTGTTGACTGGGCTCGCCGATAGGCGGAGAAGCACTTTTCGGCTCGCCTTAATCCGGTCTCACACCCCAACTTTGTCGCCGCGCCGGCCCTCGCCGCGGCGCTCGGGCGCACAGTGTGGGGGCGCACGCCGGGCGGCTCGGAAAGATCGCGGAGGAAGGAAACCGCACAACTGCTCTTCTGATTCGGCTCTTTGTTGTTCGCTCTGGATGGTCCTTGGAAGTGGCCGAGCCGCCTCGAAAACCCTGGCGCCAGAGAAGGCAAACCTTGGAATCCTTAGTCTGCAAAGGGCTCTAAGATATTGACAAGCGTCCGGAACGGTGGACCAGTAATTGCCCTGAAAACTCCTGGCGGATTGACCCACGTTGCTTATATTAAGCCTTTGTGTGTAGTGTGTGTGGTGTGTGGCTTCATAAATTCGGGGACCTCATTTTTACCCCCTCCTCTTGGCATGAGACTGTATGCAGGATCCACCCGAGGACAATGATCGCGGAGCCTGCTCACTTTTACCTCTTTGGATTAATATGTCTCTGTTCAGGTAACCCCGCGTCGTTTTTCTTCACCCTTCATTCCCCCCTTGCACGCCTCTTCACTTTCCCAGATCAACCCCGAGCTGAATTTTGGCGACCTCTGCCTCCTTCCGAGGCCAGAGGGGCCCGACCCCTGGCAGGAGTTTTAGAGGAAAGTGTTCTTAGATGGTACTTTGTGCTGTCCTTGTCCCCCCATCCCCCAAGACCCTCCAAGCCTCTTCGCAGACCTAGGCCTTCTGCCAAGTTCGAGGCACGCCCAGATCTCTCCGGGCAAACGCGCGTCTGAGCGCGGGGTGGAAAAGGCAGCGGGCGGTGGTGAGCTTGGGCCCTGAGGATGAGCCAAAGTCGGTCCGATCGCTCGGCCGCGTCCCTGGGGAAGGGAGCTGTGCGCCCAGGGAGCTGTAGCCTAGAAACCCGCCAGGATTCCTGAACCTGGTCGTGCTATTCGCCCCTCCTCTTCCGAGCAAACGGGTCATTAGTAGTTGTTTTATGTAACCAAAGTCTGTAATTAAATTCGATGCTGAAGAAACTTCAGGAAATAACTCCTTCTTACGGTAGGATATAAACTAGCCCACTCTGGCTGGCTGAGTTTAGAAGGGAAACAGACAAGTTGCAAGTATCAGAAAGGGAACACTTAGTTGCCTGGGAATATTCATTGGCAAGGGAAAACCGAAGGCTAGGTTTAGGATTTGGGGGATTCATTAAATAGTATGGAAACTCTTCATATGAACCGTTGGAAGGATGCTGCAGTGGGGTACGTCTGACCTTAGAGTGTACACTGCATCTACACTTACTAATAGTTTTCTGACACTCCCTAAGAAACTTTTAGTATGAGGGAACAGAGAGCCACGACTCAACTTTTCTTTCTTTCTTTTTGGTAGATTCTGGTTTCAATCAAGGATCCGATTTCAGGCCTTAAAACACACCACACACACTCACACTGCAACACACACACACACACACACACACACTGCACCTCAGGGAATTTTTTATAGGCCTGTACTGAGCTTCAAGTTGCATCAAGGCCTGTAGGTTAGAGTCACTTAGTTTCCATGATTATGAAACAGTTTTGAGAGGTTGATTTGAGATTTTTGTGGTCTATGGCCATAGTTTATATTTTAAAGAAGGATTTTACTTAAGGAACTATGTAAAAGAAAAACATAATCAGCCAAATGATAGCGAATAAACCCTTCAAATAGTTTCAGCCCACGAGATATGCTTTCTGCCTAAAAGGAACCTTTGCAATGAAATGAAATGAGGAATTCATTAAATCGTTACTCCTTTGAAGAAAACAGAAAACTGAAGTTTTCATATATGTCACAGTGGAAGATGAATAGATGAAACCAACTCTTTGGGGCCATCTCTTCTTACTTCAGTTTCCCCTTTCTCTACTATAGTTTTTTTTTTTCTTCTTGTTAGTTTCCAGGTCTGAATGATTGAAAAGTTCCCCACCCCCACCACCCGGTGAGGATGCAAATCAGAAACATTCGGATCTGATCTCTCTATTTGTCTGTCTTTGCTGCGTCTCCCCCTAGTTTAATTTACAGCTTCAGATACCTTTGAGGTTTTTGTTGATTCACCTTCTCAGTTAAAGTTTATTCACGTGTGTAAAGTGAAGTGTCAGTGTGATAAATGACTGGAGAGCCAGATTACTGAAGATAGGAGGATTAATGGTCATTAGTCACTGTTTGAGCTGAGTTTGTATATGTTGAGACATTTTATCATGGCTGTAGATTAAAGATAGGGTCACACTAATAGGATATCACTGAAAGCTGGTCACATCAGCGTGCAAATTCTCTGTCTTCACTTGGAGAAATATCTTGGAGTGTGTGTACTGCCCTCTCAGATGTCGTAATTTGATGAGTACCTAGTATCTGAGATTTGTAGTTTAAATAGATATAAATCATTTAGACCTGAAATGATTTCTGGCTTTGTTTTTCTAAGTTACTTTTCTGCTGAAGTCACTGATGAGTTTCATAAGTCTTAAATTTTCTAAGGGGTGTGGTTCTCTACTTTGTTGGCTGGGTCAGAGGTGTGTCCTTGTGAGATGCTCTCTCATATTTAACCTGAAGCTGTTCCTAGCTCTTCTGCTGACTTTAACTCCTGCTGTGCGTTTGAACTTGGGGAGGCCAAATTATTGGCCTGCTGAGGAGATTTCATGAGAGTGTGCTATTCTAAAGCCATCGTATTGATTTGCGTAAACCTTCACAGAACTCAGATAAGTAAGTCGAGTTGGGCGTGCTCAAGACACCTGGACAGGGAATGAATGAAGTTCTTGAAAGATCGTGTTTCATATCTTGCCTCAAGCCTAAGATCACAGTCTATCACTTGTTAATGGAGTGTATTTAAGGGAAATGTGGTGAGTTTAAATAAATCAAAGTGTACCGAGGGGCTAAGTTACCGTCAACAAGATTTAACCTGTAAAAGCATCTATTGGTTGTCAGTTCTTTTTTTCTTTTTTTTTTTTTTTTAACCTGGCTGCCAACTCCTATAGTTTTCTTCAAACAGATTATACACTTCATGTTGATGTGTTGATGTCATACTTAACATCAAATATTATATGTTTGCTTTTTGTAGCCTTTTATTACACTAATGCTACAATATATAACTTTTTATTCTAGGAAACTAAGATTTTGGAAAAAATAAGTATTTCAGAAATACCTTTTTATAGTGAGTTTCTTTAGTGTTTGTATACCTCATTTCTTTTCTATGGAGAGCTAGACTTTTGGTGAGGGGAGCAGATGGAATAGCACTGGAAAAAAAACCAACCTGTGTTATCTCTCAGGACCTGATTCTAAACATTGTTTCCTTCTTTATGGACTTCCTTTCCTCAACTCCATTTGCTAAAACCTGCTTTTAAGTGAAAAAAGTGATTGAATTTCAGTTCTGACTTACGATGAGATCTGAACTTCAAATGAGGTGGAAATTCACTAGTGCTATCTTTCTGCTTTTTTGGGGGGTGGGGGTGGGGGTGAGTCTTTTTCTTTTATTAGGAGGGAAATGTTTTAGGAAAAGTTTCACTCCCTAAACCACTTATCTGGGTCTATGGTCCCTCTCTCTAACTGGAAGATTCTTTGGCAATTCTGGTAATTTCTTATTTTAAAATAAATTTGTTAGCTTTAAAATATACTTGCCTGAACACTGTGACATCTTTTAAAACATACTATTGCTAGATAATGGTCCCTCTAATACATGAGATAATTGCAATTAAAATGTCTCAGAACAGTAAGTTTATCTGAAGTTTTCCTTTAGTCTTCACTGTGACAATTGAAATATTCTTGTGTGAGTTAGTGATACGAAATGCTAAACTTCAAACCTATAATCAGGTATTTGCTTGTTTATTTATTTTACATGGAGTAGATATAATTTAAAGTACTGGGCAAGAGGTATGAAATTGTCTGGGAAACTTAGAATAATAGCTTGCCAATGAAGATTGTAAATAGTTGAGTATGTATCATTTTCTGTGTTCATAAGAGATGCTAGAGTAATGCTTCTGTTAATTTCTGGCTTTTTGAAAACTGTTTAATTCTGAAAACAAAAATACAACTGTCTTGAATGCTTGATTTCTTATGGAAAAACTATAAGGAAGTCAAAATTTTACTCAAAAATTAGGCCTTAGGTAATCTTAAATTAAGAAATCTGGTAATAAGAAAGGGGGAAAAAAAAAACAGTAGAAGCAGAAGTCTAGAGAAGTACAGTAGAAGAACCAGATCCAGAATTAATCTATAATTAAGTTTTAAGCTGTAGGAGGAAAAGGGGTGGCAGTAGATAGAGCAGCCGAATGTGAGTGCACCCCTCTGACCACACATAGGAAACAAAGCAAATCTGAAAAGTGGCCTCTTGAAAAATTGATGTCAAGGTATATGCTGTATATTTAACCACTGTATACAGAGTTAGACATTTTTAAAAAACTGAGTAGTTTGGAAGATGGAATCATTTGAAAACAAAGGAGTAGTCTAAATCTTTAATGAACTCATATAATTTTTTTTTAAAGCTGCATTTTATAAGACTTTAGAATGTTGATTGCCTCAGCTTATTTAGTGGAGTGAAAAGCTAAGTAGTTACCTTCTGTATCACAATGTTTTTGCTTAGAGGAGACCAGTAAAGTGAAAGAAAGAAATAATAATAATAAAAAAAGACGAGATCATGTTCAAATTCTGGGGTACCCTAAGAAACTTTATGATGGTGACTACTACTGTTGCTTTGAAGATATGACTATGATTTGTTGAACATTCACCATTATCTTATTTAATGCTTGTAAGAACCCTATGACGTAGGTGCTATTATTAGTAAAATACTGCTTTATCTGTGTTTTATAGTTACAACATCATAGAGATGTTAGGAGATACAGATGAGAGGGGATTTGAACCAAGTTGATTCCAAAACCCTTAACCACTGTGCACTTTCCTAGTTGAAAGAGAGAAATGAAGGATTTAAAAGAAGAAAGATTATGGTTCAATCATTGTTTAATTTTAAAGCACGTCCACCAAATCCACCTAAACAAGACTGTGGTTTGAACACTTGAGAATTTGGAAGGGAGGCTTTTCTTATCCTGCCGTTAAATAAACGATCTTCAAATTTTTAGATCACCAGGCAGGAAAGACAATGATTCTTTACCTTCAGTCAACTCACATCCAGCCTTTATCATGTCTGCATTTTCTGTCATGCTTAAAAATAGAGACTGAACAGAAGTCAAACAATGACCTCTGGTGATGTGGAAATACACAATTCCAAGTTGTATTTTGAAAAATGAATGCCATCCTCATTCATGCACACTTGAGGAAAGATTTTGTTCTGAGTCCCAAGGCAAATAATTGGTGCTTATCAGGGAAGAGCCTGTGGAGAAGCAATCATTTCCCCTGGGGTTGCTTTTTCCTCTCCGGGTTGGGCATGGGCTGGTGGTCATTTAGTAGCAGATGAGCCTTCTGCCTGACTGCTGTTCACAGATGACTCACGGCATGGTTACTGATCACGGAAGGGTGTGGTGTGTTAGGACCTGGTTGATCAG